TCCACCGGAGCGAGCGGGCTGCGCGCCCCAGCCCGCTGGCTTCAGCCAGGCATGGATGCCCCGCTCGACCGAGAGCTGCAGTTGCGGAGTGGCGCCGCTTGCGGGAGTTAGCGATAAATTTGCTGACTAACAGTGCGATCCTGGCCGTGCCTACTCGGAAGTAAGCCCCATGGAGCGGCATGGGTTTACTCCTGAGTAGGCGGACCCTAGGATCAGAGCGGCGACTTCAAGGGAGCGAAGTCGGGTCAGAAAATGCTCCGGATTCATTGCGGGAAATAGATGAATGGGCGGGGCAGGCCCGGGTGGAGGGGCGAGGGGGCAGGGAATTGAGATGCACGACAGTGTAAAAGAAATAATTCAATTGCCTGCTGGGAGCGGCTTAGAGTGCTTCCTCGGATCCGGGCCTGGGACGCGGGGAGGGTTTCCAAGCAATGAAGCTTGCAAATCCGATACAGTTACTCCGCCTTTTGCGCTTTCGGCTTGCCGAGTAATGAATGCAGCCATTCAACTCACCACTCTATTACTGTTAATAATATTGTAAATCTTTCCAGTCCCGACGATATTGAATAAACTCTCCGACTACCGTCCAGGCTCTGTCTTTGGAAAAAGGACTACAGGGAGGCGGGGTTGTTGGCCTGTCCCATCATAATGGTAATTCAGGCTTAGTCAAGCTTAGATCAGGCGAATGGGACAAGTAAGCGTACTGAGTTTAGTGGATCTATTCTAAGCATGCCCAAAGCGGGATCCAGGCCGTCCTGAGTCCAGGGCAAGTCCCGCCGTGTGCCGCACAGCCGGAGTGATTCTTCATACACCGTGAGGCCCTTCCGACGTAATGTGGCACGGAATAGGGGCTTGCAGCTGAGACGCAAGTCGCAGCTACTCTTGGCTTTTAGCCACCTCAACCCTGTATTAGCCCTTCCCTGAGAGTAAGCCCCATTGACCTGAACGGCGCTTCTCTGAGTAGACGTGCACAGGAATGCATTGTGTGCCTTGCTATTGTGCGCATTCGGATCTTTCACTGGTTGCGCACCCAACTGCGCATTTCTAAACAACAAGATGTATGAATGGGATGGGGTGTGTGAATGGACTCGGAAGTCCCAGCCATTGTCCAGGTTCTAGAGCAAGCCGGTTTCCCCGATTCACCAGCGCAGCCCTATACGCAGAAGTCCGAGGAAATCCAAAAGACTTTCTCTCAGGGGAGCGTGCATAGGATCGCAGGCTGCAGTCTCGTTGTCTTGAACGTCGTGTACCTCCCCACCCCCATTATGATGAGTATTTACATTAGCAGAAGGAGGCCCTGCAACTCTGTCGCCCCCCCGCCCGCCCCTTTCCCCGTCAGTGTCTGGTGCCTTGCATCTACTGGGGTGATTGATGGAGCCTTGAATACAACGTTATTACTCTCTCGCAAGCCGAAATCAAACAGGCTATTAACTACATTACTTCAAAGAACACAGTTCTCAATACAATCTACTTATCTTAATTGAAACTTTCTCTGCCTGGGTATTTGTAGAGCAGATAATTTACAGGTGCGTAGCAGGGGCGACAGCAGGCGTCACGAGGAAGGGGGGGATGGCCATACGCCTCAAAAGGGGGAGAGGGAGGGAAGAAGGGAAGCGGGTGAGTCTGCCCTAGCCAGGCGCCCTTCCGGGATGATGGGAGTTGGAGTCCGACGCATCTGGAGGCACGCCGGGCCGTGGAAGTCGGGGGGGGGGATGTTGAACCGCTTGAATGGAGAGGAGGTTGCTTTGCAAAGAGAATCTGATTATTAATGGGAGGGGAGCTCCCCCCTCTGCCCGCCCCCACTTTTCCAAAGTAACCGAGGCCATTGTTAGCATCGGGGCTAAAAGCCCTTTTGGTAGATTTGTCTCTTTCCCCTGTCGAGGATTACGCTGCAGTCTCCAGCAGATCTTTGAAGCACAGCCCGACAGCAATCCGGTGTTTGCAATTAGCCACCGCGGCTTTCCGTAGAATACCAAGTTGCTCCTTCGCGGGGCAAAAAGGTTGTGCAGGGGAAGAAGGGGGTGCATAGGGAGGGGTGGGATGTTAATCCAATACAATAACTGGATGCCTCGAGGGTTTCTCCCCCACTCTTGAAATTAAACTTTCCCGCATTTCAGCTCCTGCTGCATTGCTTACACAGGAAACTGACTCAGAGTCAATCTTCAATACGATCTTGTGTTAAAAAAAATCTGCAATTCCAGTTCCTTAAAAACCGGCGAAGACGTTTACCAGAACAATGCAGTGCGGAGACTGGAGAAGATACACGGATTAATCATAATCATGGGAGGGGGGGGCGGAGGGGAGTCTGAATGCCTGCGGCTACACATTCACTTACTCCGGAGTAGACATATTGAAACCGATTGGCTCATTCAGTTGCTGTTGTTGTGTTTCGGGCCCGACGGTGCTATCCAGAGCAGCGCAATCTTAGCCATTTACTCGCAAGTAAATGCCCCTGCGCTCAAACATGCCTAGTCCCAAGAAAGCGTGTCTCAAATCGAAGCTTTGCTGGGGAGTAAGCGCTTTCAATTACTCCGGGGCTTGCTTTCGAGTAAACGTGCGTAGGATCGGGTACAACAGCTGTTTAGGATCGCGCCCTAAGGGCTCTATACTGCGCAGGAGGAAGCTCGACTTAAACTCGTCCACTCTAAAGACACAGAAGCGTGGCTAAGTGTATCAAGCTGTTCAGCTTTTTAAAAACCCCTCAAACACTCTGGCTTAAGTTGTTCGTGAATCGGGCAATTAATGCAGCCGCAGCGAGGTGAGGGGGTGGGCGGGAGGGACGGAAGGCAGAGAGAAGGAAGAATATATGAATATCGCTGATTTTTTTTAATCGCCTGCATTTGGCGGCGCTGTACTGTCCCTTTAAATTATTAAAATAGTTTTCGACAGCTCTCGGGTCTTTGCCAGGGGGACTTTTATTACTTCTTGTAATTTGAAGCTCTGCCATGTTCTCTCGCTCCCTCCTTTATCTCCCTGTCCGTACAGGAACAGGCGAGAGATCTTGTTTTCTATGACTGCCCTTTAAGAAGAAAAATATGGATTAGATAAGGTTAACTACTCTAATTCGCACTGCGATAGGACCAGCGTTGCAAACGTGCAGGAGGTGGGGGGGGGCTGGGGGGCGGCGCAGAGGGACCCTTTGCCGTAACCCTCGAGTCGCTTGTGCTGCATGTCCCGCAATCCCCCCCACTCCACGTGAATATAATTTTCATTAAAGTAATCCTGTTTCAACCAGACGCTATGACTTAGAGGTGAAACGTTGCGAAAGCGTTAAAAATAGCTTGCCAGTCATTTCGACATCCTGTAATTTTATCACGGATCAGATTACAACTGTCATACTGTACAGACCTTTATTTCCCTGTATTTGTTATTTTCCCCGTACATCATGCTTACTTTGCGGGGGGCGGGGCGGGGCGGAGCGGGGTGGGAGGAGAGAAGGAGGGGATCAGCTCCCCCCGCTTTGGTGCCAACGGTGTAAAATCCGGGGGAGAGAGAGAGAGAGAGAGAATGCACCATTTTCTATCAACACTGCGAAAAAAAGCGTCCTTCTATAGGCTGCTGCTGGAAAAGCAGAGATTGCTGCTAGGGCTCGAACAGTTGTGCTGTTTGATTGCATTTACTCGCTTGTCTTGCTCGCTTCGATTTCTACCCCTCTCCTGCTCGCCCGGTTTTGGGGCTCTTAAGTTTCTTGGGTTTGCATAATAACTGCACGCGAAGCTCCGGGACAGTCACTAAATACATATCGCCCTTACAAGTAGATGATTGTCTCTTCGGTTAATGCTTCCTCCCCCACCCCCTCCAGAGTCCCAGTTAGTTTTAATTTCGGCTTGCATTTAACGAGTTTCCAAATGGATGTCCCTCCCACCCTTCTCCTAAACTAATACTGTGAGGGGAAAAAGATAAAAGAAAAAGATATCGCTCGCGCTCGCTCTTCCTGCTTTTTCAAAGTCAGTATTCCTACACCGCTTGGTTATATAAACCCATTAGTATTTCTGCGCGCCCTTGCCGGAGATCTGCATTGTAAACACGTAACCGCGATGTGCCTATACTTCAAAATTAAAAAAGAATGTGCAACGCCGATCCAGCCGAGTCGCCCCCGCTGGCCCCCGCATATTGATTTATCATGCAGTGTTTATTGTTCGGTCCTATTACAAATGCGATCGCTGCCTGTGCAATATTGCTCGCAAGATCCCGTGATCGCTGTGCTTCTGTGTGCTTTAGCTCACCACTCCTCCCCCCCCTTTTTTTTGCAAAAGAGAACAAATGTATTAATATTTATATGTTTATATAATCGATAACCCACTTTCTTCCCCCCAACACACACCCCATCGTCCCCGTGTTAAAAGATAGTACCAGGCAGCTAATCTAACCGATCAAGTTCCGTGGGGGGGGGGCGAATATGGCAGTAAGGGAACGTAATTTAACTATCAAACAAATCTACATGTCTAATAAAAGCAAATCTGCTAAAGAGAATTAGAAAGAAGAACAGCGCCTCTGACTCTCTGCAGGAAATGTTCTTTATATTAGACATATACAAGCAGGTCCTGTCAGATGAGCACCTCAACCAGATTGCTTTTCAGCCCAGCAAAAATGGAACGACCCTTTAGTCTGGCTTTCGGGGGGCTTCGGAGGAGTCCACTCCTGTCTCTGCAGAGATCTGGGCAATGTAATATTTTAAAAACCGCTTCCGATCCGAATTTTGCCTGGCTCCATTCACCTCGGTGCAGCGGGCTGATTGTGCTGTGACCTGTATCGCCTGTGCAGATTGGCAGCAGACGGGCGAAAAGCCCCGTGTTTCCTACGGAGGCTGGAAATTGGGGGTCGTGAGAATCGCGCTGCGGGATTTTCTGTTATTTTGGAAGCGTTTGGAATGTAAGGTTTGGGTTTTATATTGAGGCTCGGAGCCGGCTGCTGGGTGAGATCGCTTTTCCCTGCCAGGACCTGATGCAATCCATTCAAGCCAACAAGTTTGGAGAGAATGTTGAGTTCAATCAATTCAGAACGTCGAGATGGAGCCCAATTCAGTCCAGGTATTCGGTTCTCCTCTCTTCTTCGCCTCTGCACCCCAGACCCCAACACCCCGGATCCCCGAGGCACCCACCTTCATCTCTTTCAAACTTTCCAAGAACTTTCCCCCCTGTAATTGCCATTACCCCCTTTAAAAATGCCTTTGCTGATCATATAGAGACACACAGATTCTTATAATGGTGACTGGTCGGATTTCTGTTACCCCCGCCCCAAAGAAAACCGGCTTGTCTCCCAAAACAACCCCCCCCCCAGAAGCTGTAATATTCTTTCCACTTCTGATTTAGATGTGTGTGTTTTGATCAGATCTAGCTATGCTGTTTTAAAAAATTGATCTGCAATTGCTGATGGGTTTTTTCTCACCCCCCCATCCTTGTTTATTCCTTCCAGTGGGTCGGCTCTCCGTGTGGCTTACACGGACCTTACATTTTCTACAAGGCTTTTCAATTCCACCTTGACGGCAAACCAAGAATTTTGTCCCTTGGCGATTTTTTCTTTGTAAGATGTAAAGCAGAGGATCCGATTTGCATAGCGGAGCTACAACTGCTGTGGGAAGAAAGGACTTCCAGGCAACTTTTATCCAGCTCCAAACTTTATTTCCTACCAGAAGATACTCCCCAAGGCAGAAACAGTGACCATGGCGAGGTGGTAAACATCTATTTTGTCTCTGTGTGCGTGCGTGCGTGCGCCCGCCTGTGTTACTGTATGTGGAGTGTGATGTCTCTCTCCCTCTCTGTGTGTTTTTCCCCCTCCCTGGCTTGTAATGTTTATTAAAGGACAGGATTGAAATGTTCCCTTCTGCCGGCAACGTGAGCTTCGGGTTTTTTAAAGTGCTAGTGCCGCTGAGCGAGGGCTGCAGCGGGGCGCCCGCGCCAGAGCTGGCCTGTCATCTGAAAAGAGCCCGAATGTGCCCATTTTAAAGCCGCGATCCCCTAACTTGGTGGTTCGGCGTTGAAGGTGATCTTTACTTACATCACCCCTCCTCCCCCTCCCTCCCTCCTTTCCTCCTCCTCACGTTGCTGTTTAAGCGTCCTTGTCACATGCTTGCTGAGTCGCTTCGTTTCAGGGTTTCGAGGCGGGTTGTATTGGGGGTCTCAGCCCAGCTTCCCTCCCGCCTGTCGTCCCCCCCTCCAACATTCGTGCATGGATTTGAATGGGGTTCATCTCGAAGGATCGCGTGCGTGTGTAGGGTGTAGACGCGTGTTTCTTTCGGGGGGGGGTCTTCAAGTATTTTTGATATGTTGGAAAGAAGGCGGAAATTACGAAATGGAGGCAGTGAGTGAGATCAAAAGCGATTTCGTTGGCACAGACGTGTTGCAGAAAGTGATAAATGACATTCAAATAACTTGCAGATATGCCTGGGCGTATTTCAAAGCACTCCCGTGTGTAATAACCAGCACAAACACGTTAAGCATTAACAGCTAGTCCGATCGTCGCGCTTATGCCTTCCTCTGCGTGTACTCGCTTAACACAATTACTATAAAATGTGGACATTTTCCAGAAAAGACGTCGTGGGGAGGGGGAGCGAGTGCAGTCCCTGGCTGAAGCCAAGCCGGTGCCTAGCTGCTTTCAGACGCCTCTGATCCTATGCACGTTTACTTGGAAGCCCCATTGAACGGTGTGGGACTTCCTTCGAGTAAAGATGCGTAGGATCAGGGGCCGCGCGCCTCCCTGGGGAGGAGCGTGGGACTCGCCTGCAAGGAAACACGCGCGGATCGGGCTGCCTGGCCGCAGTCCCAACCGTGCTTGCTGGGTGGGATGCCAATCCGCGGCTATCCGGGGGACTTACTTTGGAGTAAGCAGGGTTGGCCGGCGGCGCGTGCGCTCGGGCGTGTGTGTCTGGCAGGGGCCGCGGGGGGGAGAGAGACACTCCTTGTCAGGTTGCACCCGAGAAAGTTTGGGATGCGGAAAAGTGCTCCGCCTGGTCGGAAGGGAGATGTGGAGCCAGTGGATCGCTCCGGGAGTCGGCTCGAGAAGGAAGGCGGCGGCGGCGGCGGCGGGGAGGGGGGAGAGAGCCAGAGCGGCGGCGGCGGCGGCGCTGCTGGCTCGCGTTTGCATTGTATTCTTCCAGATCTGTAATTTCATGTATGCCCGCAATTCTGCTGGCTACTCGAGTCAGCTGACGCTGCACCGTGTTCAGAGGAGGAACTATTTTAAGGGCCGGAGACGAGCGGCGCTGTGTTTATGCGGAGAGAGGTGGGCCAATTTGCGACGGCGTCGCATCCTCGGAATCGTAACAATAGGCAGAGGTGGGCTCCTCCCGGGCGCAAGGACGGGCGAGCGGGGAGGCTGCCCGTAGCCCTCCTCCTGCGGAAAGCCCCCTTCGTGACCACCCGAGCTGCCAGGTTCCTTCAACTCGCCCTACTCTGATGGAGTTAATTGAAGGGTGGGTTTCCACCCCTTCTTGCAGCCTCCTCCCCCCGCCGCCCCCCCCCCGCCGCCCTCGCCGCCTTCGAGATCGAGTAACTCATTCGGATTACGCTCTCCTTAATTTCGCTGCTTGTGCAATGTTCCCCGGACGCGAGCTGTTGACTGGGGGCGGGTGAAAAGCCATGCTATGACCACTTAATCGTCCTCTGTAACACATTCCCCCCACCCCGCATATCAAGTGCCTTCTTTCTCTACCTCGCTCTCATCCAATATGTAGTTTTGATGCCCCTTCTCTCTCCTTCCTGAATTAAAAAGCTGAAACATGGAGAAGTTACTGGAGGGAGGAGGGAAGTCTGAGGAAACTGCACAGGTTGGACCCCCACGTTTTCTCATTTGCCCCCTTCCCCCTCCCTTCACCTTTCCCCTGCAGCTGTTTCTCCTCCCCCTCCTCGTTTCACGAGTACTTATTTGCTTTTCAAATTTATTACTTCAACATGGTCTGTGATCTGGAAAGGGAAAGGATTAAATATCATTCCCCCCCCCCCCCCACACACACACTTTTCCCCTTGAAAAGACTGCAGGAATAATAGACAGGTCACCAAACCAGACAGGAAACCATTGAAAAATGTTATTAAATCACTTTGGATAACTTAAAATAATAAATAAAACTTAAATGTATGTGCAGTAACACTTTTTCACTTCCAACCTGACTTGATGCATGTTTGCCCTTTGAAATAAGTCCTGTTTAGTTCAGTGGAACTTACTTTCAAGGAAGTGTACACGATATTGCAGTTTTTCTGGTTTTGTCTCTTTTTAAAAACATAACTGTATCCTCACCACTTAGAGTGTAGTCCATTCTGCACAAATTGGCAGAGAGCCCTAATGTTGACAATGGGACCGTACTTTCTGGTTTGGTCCTACTTGGAGTAGACCCATTGAAATGGACTCAATTTAGACTTAATATTGGACATGACCCATTGTATACCGTTCACAGCCTAAAGTAACTTTGCTCAGGTTACTTGGGCTGCACTCCTGTTGAGCAAATACCATTGTGTAAAGAAGGGCTCACTTCTGAATAAACATTCATGGGATGGGTTTATTGGGATGATGGTCTGCACCTATAGGTTTATATGTTGCAATGAATATAAGCTAATCAAGTTCTGTGCCTTCATTTTTTAATAAAAGGGTGGAGGCTGGGGACAAATCATTTTAATATGCCTTAATGACCATCTCATGTTTCTGCAGTATGATAATCAGAGAAAATTAATCCAGCCATTCCAAGCCAAAGTGTTCTTTCAGTACACAAATTCTCATCTGCATAGCCATCCCTAATATTACGCATGACTTTAATATGATTTTTAAAACAACAACAACAAGCTGCTAGTAATTAGATGCATGGTTTATCTCATTAGGATTTGTCTCGGAATTATTCAGCTTCAGGAAGATCATGCTTTAATGGTCATGATGACACATCTTGGGAGGATGCAAAGCCTCTGCAAGGAATGCTTGTGACCGAATGTGAAGCAGGTAGAAAGTTTTCCTGCTGCAGTTAGCTTTGCACCCTCGTGATGTCATTTTCCCCAGTGGCCTCTTAGTCATTCATTAGCAGAGTTGCAGCAGGCAGGAGAAACACCAACGACACAGGAGTGATGCTTGCTTGGCAGCTTGCCTACAGAAACTAGCACTTAGAGCCAAGGCCTAGAGAGGGCAACCTAACACTCCCATTAAGAGCTGTGCTTTGTTTTCACTTAGTCCATTAACTTGTTTATAGAGGCTGAAATGTTTTTTTTATCATTGATTCTGAATTGTTTTGCATGATAAATCCGGTTCAAAAATTTGCAACACAGAGACCAGAAAAAGTTGGGCGGAGGTTGGCTTGCTGATTGGCAGTTTCTTACTTGGGGAAATGTTTCAGTATTCAGCATAAAGGGAGCAGTTATTTCAAGAAACTTCACCACAGTAATAATTCTTGTGTGTAAATGACATCAACAGTTATTTCTGAAGCTGAGAGATGGGCCGTTTTGAACTGAGAAATCTCATGTAACGCTTTGTATGTCTGCTACGTCCTGGGCATGGAAATTGCACTCGGGGATAATTTATAGAGAAAATAACAGGCAGAGCTTAGGGAAAAGACTGTGTAACGAAATTTAATTATATGTTGAGCATAGTGGATAAAGTGTGGTCAGTCACCCCCGCTCCTGTCTCTCCTTCATAATGTGATTGTAAATCTGCAGTGTCAAGGGTTTGGGTGGGGTCAGAGGTCAACAGAGGCACTTGCTTAGAGTAAAACTGATGTTTAGCAGAGTTGGATCTTATCGGGAGTTGGTGATCAGCTCCTTTCAGAGAGTCAGGGTTTGTCACTTGGAGGTATCTTTGCTGGTTTGGTGAAAGCTGTAATTAGCTATTTATAAATTTCTCAGAATTGATACTTTGAGACAGCGGCTGCTTTTAGAGTGAAATAGCAAGGTGAATGCTATGTTAAGACAACTTTGTACAGTATGCATTTCCTGTGTGGAAGCTGGTTCTGAACTGGTTTATGTCTGTGAATGGCTACATGTGACCAATGCATGCATATTTATTTAAAACATTTGTATGCCACCTATTGTACCACAGCACCTCTGGGTGGCTCACAATCATATCTCTTCTGCCTTATGCATATGTGATGAAACAACTTGCATTTATTGGACAGGCCTTACCTAGGAAATGTAATGTTCTATATCAGATCCCATGCTTGTTTACTGAAAAAATAATTTTCAGTAAGTTCAGCAGGATATAAGTTCTAGTACAAGCATTATAGCACACACTTCAGCCCAGTGTGCTTATTCCAGTTGGACTATTCGGCATGGTGTGCTTCTAGATAATTCTTCAGCCTTGCACTCTGAGTAAGATGTTTTTTTAATGGCTGATTTGAGCAGCATTGGGTGCAAATTATGGCATTAACTTATGTGCAGCCCCTACTCCTGGCCAGCAGGGGATCCATATACTGGATAATTTAGCCATAGATGGTTGGAGGTGTCACCAAAGCTTCTGATATTGTCTGCCTAATGTCTGTATGGAGAACTTTGTGCTTGTGTAGGGAGAGAAAGAGCACAATTATTGGATCATGTCCACTTCGCCTGTTGGGGTCCTGACCTACAGAATTCCATACTCAGTCTGAGCCAGCTGCATGACCCATGGGCAAATATGGCTGGTGTGATATTTTGTGGCATCCCAAGATGTTGATAAAAACCACCTTGAGGTTCAGAAGTCTCCCCTTTGTTTGATGCAGCTAGCTA